AAATCAAGAGCTGGACGCTTAACTGACTGAGCCACCCAGGTGCCTTGGGAACCACTAACTTAAGATGTAGACAGTACCTAAAAAGAAAATTTGTCACTGTGAAGTATTGGCCAAGAAAGACATGATCTCAAATCAAGAAGTAGCCTAGGGTTGTGACTTTACCTAAGAGAAACATTGACATCATTTAGAAGGAATTTGCAAATGACCTGTCTTTTCCCCTGTGCCTCAGAAGTCAGCATCTACCAAAAAGAGAGCATTCATATACATATATGTATGTATAATAAATAAAAATACATAATAAATATATTTATGTTAATATATAATATACTGATGTTATATAATCGTGTAGTATATATTAATATTATATATTATATATATATAATTTTATATACATATATAAAAATCTTCCAAAGAAAATGGTCTGCTCTTTACCTCTTGATATTTATCCATTACCTCTGAAAGGTTGTTAGGAATTGGATGAAGCCCGAGGTAAAAGCCAGCTCCTCTAATTAAACCAGAGACTAATTAGCCCATGCAGTTTACATGGTGCAGTTAGCGTCTCTGCAGAGTGAATGTCTAAATAATTGTGTTAAGTGTACTGAGACGGGACTGCAAGTGTGTGTGACTGGACATGTCCAGCTGTGATTCTGGAATCAGTCTAGGTCATGTTTTCCACCTGCCCTAGACTAAAGCAAACAAGGATGGTGGGAACCAGGAGGTCGAGATTGCCCGTTGCCATAAGGGGCAGTACTTTGGAGAGCTTGCACTGGTCACCAACAAACCCAGAGCTGCTTCAGCTTATGCAGTGGGAGACGTCAAATGCTTAGGTAAGAAAAATAAATTCTTTATGCATAATACTTTTTTTTTCTAACATGCAGTATTTTTTTCCCAGCAGCAAGCCTTGACTCCACCAGTTCTCTCACACATCCAGGCATGAACAACTTGTGGGACCAACTAGAAATGGGTATATATCCTTTAGCAATACAGCAGTATAGCCTGTGAAAAGAGCAGAAATGGAGGCAGGTGTCCAGGATTCTGTAGGGATCAAGAGAAAGGTGCTGCCAGGCTCTGCAAAGTCACAAACCGAGATGACACAGTCAGGCTGTACTCAACGTAGAAACATCCCTCCTTTTTCCAAGTGCCCAGGATCCCACAGTCTTATCCCCTGTAACATGAATGGGTATATTTAATAAAAAGTTTGCGGGGTGCCTCGGTGGCTCAGTCGGTTAAGCATCCGACTTCAGCTCGGGTCATGATCTCACAGTTCGTGAGTTTGAGCCCCGCGTCGGGCTCTGTGCTGACAGCTCAGAGCCTGGAGCCTGCTTCAGATTCTGTGTCTCCCTCTCTCTCCCTGCCCCCCCGCTGCTCACGCTCTGTCTCTCTCTGTCTCAAAAATAAATGAAAAACATTTTTAAAAATTGAAAAGAAAAAAGTTTGCATGTGGGAAATGACTTTGAATTAATGATGTAGAGAATTCATTCTCTCGTGCACCTCTTTTTAACAATGCAGTTATGGACGTGCAAGCATTTGAGAGGCTTCTGGGGCCGTGTATGGACATCATGAAGAGAAACATCTCACACTACGAGGAACAACTGGTGAAGATGTTTGGCTCCAGCATGGATTTGATCGATCCCGGGCAGTAGGTGTGCCACACCACAGAGCCTTCTCAGTGTGACACCAAAACCTTCTGGTCAGCCACAGAACACACACAGAAGACAGACACAACAGAACTGTTCCTGCTGTTGCCACCGCCACTGCCATTGCTATGGCCGTGGGCATTTAGAAAACTTGAAAGTCAGCACTAAAAGATGGGCAGAGGTTCGACCCATACCTCCTCCACTTTGCTTCTGAAAGCCCATTATTAGACCACTTGTAATGATTATTCCAACCCAGTTGTCACACCTTTGGTTCAAAACGGCATGTCTCTCCAACAATTTAAGTGCCTGATACAAAGTCCAAAGTGTAATCATCTTCCTTTCCTCTCTGGCTGCTACTGTTGCTGTTGGAAGTCACCACAGGTCTGCACAAACCTGTGTATAACTGTAGACACCCACCCCCGACCTTTCTCAAGGGAGGAAATGTTGTAGCCCTCGATCTTCTCCTTTGTCCTTTGAGAAAGTCCACACGTTTGTTCACAATTGTAGCCTTTGGTTTTACAGTAGAAAATGGCAGCTGGTAGGACCGAGGTCTGTGGTCCTGTGGCATTGTACTGTCTGCTGACAGCTATACCCGTGACAGCTGTCTCCAGACTCACAGTGCTGTTTAGGAAAGGGCCCTGCCCAGGGCCCAGCAGGTCAGTGCGCCAGGGCACACCGATTGGTCATGAGGACCTGTGTTAGAGCAGAAAATTTGGGTTCAGCACATTCTTCACGTAGCAGAGAGCCAGGGAAGGTTTTCTGGGTTGGGGTGTTTTGTTCTGTTTTAGTAGGTTTTGTTTTGTTTTATTTATCTCTGTGCAGTTTGCATGAGTGAATCACTATGCATTTCTAAGGAGCCAGGGTCTGGACGTGCCATCACTTTATCTGACCCAAATACTTCCCTGGGCGACTCCTGCCATCTTGTTCCCAGTTGTCCCTACCAGCTAATGGCGGTGTGCCAGCAAGAGGTTGTACTACTAAAAAGAGAGCCCTTTCCTTCTACTCCGGTGTTATCACATAGCTTTGCTGTTGAACTATCAATTTTAATAATTTTAATAATTTCTTCTTTAAAGAAGAAGCAGCTATTTTTTTTTTTTGAAATAAAAAAAAATTATTTCTGTGTTGGGAATTCTTATTAGACCTATTCGCGTGTATCAGTTTGTCAGCTGACTCAGGCATTCATCCTGAAGATCAACGCTTTGTTTTTAAAAATCAGAATTACTCACAATTTCATAGAATTACTGTAAAAACCTTTCTAATTAAGGTGTTGGGATATTTGGGGTTCCAATTATTAACCCCAGAGGAAAGTAATTTAGCTTATTTTAAAACTTTTTTAGCCTTTTAATTCTATCAGGTAGAATGCTGATGAATTATCCTAATTAAATATATTTCAGAATGGATTTTTTTTTTCCTTCACAATGACTTAGAATCAAGAAACTACAAGAGATCCTAAGAGTAGTGTGAAGGCTGCATAGAGATAATTTGAATGTTGTAGCCAAGTTTATATTAAATCAGGAGGCCCTTCCCAATATGATTTATTTTTTCAATTTGTGTCACTCAATAGATCCCTAAGAGATCACATGCTGGGGCTTGAATTATTCCTGTTATAGATAGTGATGGAGCCCACATGTCACTTCCATTGTCCACATAAGCCAGGCTCTCTGCTTTTGCCATGGACAGTGTGGTGGAGAGATTTCCGGAAGGGTGACCTACCACAACTTTGGTCAATTCTCCCCTTTTCTTGCATTCTGTGATGTGAAAGCAGAAGGACTCTTTTCACACTGCCCTAGGTAGCCTGCATCGCAGGTCTCAGAATCGTGAGAGGTTGTAACTAATACCCCAAAACAGGCAGCTAGCACTGGGAAAGCCCGTGTGGTTTTTCCCACGATTTTCCAAGGTTGTTCTTCTCCAGGGTGTTGCTTTATTATCAAGTAAGTTAGGAAAGCAGATCTTGCACTTTAGCAGACAGGAATCACCCCTGTTTATTGTAAAAGTGGCAGGTACATTGAGCTTTAGGAGCGTCACAGAGGTCTGGCCCCAACTATGTGAGGACACTGTTTAACTACTGAGCAGATGCCCTCTTTGTACCCCCCATGCCAGCTTTAGTTAGGGCTGGCTGTGAGCTTAGTGCCAGAGTCACTCCTGCAGGCTGCTAGGCATGGGCCTTTTCAGCCTGCCTCCTTGCACATCCCAGTTCAGTCTTCCTCTTCACAGAAGCCTCTTTGATATCCCCAACTCACTGATGGTTGCTGTTTTACAGAGTAAAATCCATCAGTCTTAAGTCCTCCTGCTCTAACTACAGATTGATATATAGATCATGAGCCCAAACCCTCACTGCATACAGGGCCCTTTGGGGGTTTGGCTTGAGGAAGACCTTAAAAGGACCAGGGTGAGTGAAATAGGATACAACCATTACCAAGGTGCCAGGAGTCTGACAGTGTCCCAGTTCTCTTTGCAGCATGGAGATTCAAAGGTGGCAGACCAAGCTCAGCTGAGGGCTCCAGTGTCCACATTATGTCAGGCAAGCCCTGAACTGTTGGGTGAGCCTCAAGGGGAGGAGCATATTAGGAAGAGATCCCTGTGTTAATTGTTTTATATTGTTCTCTTCCATGGGTTAGAGCTTCATGCCCTCTTTCCTGGATTTTAGCTATTGTTTGGGATGGTAAAGAATATTCCTGAGAGCCTTGAGGTCCAACCTACAGTATTATCCTTCCTTCTGGCCTCAGTTTATTACACCCACTCTCTTCTTTTGGCTGTATTCTCTGAAGAAAGGGTTTACGTGGGCTATCCTCTTAGTTGATAGTCTTTATATATAAGTGCTATAGATTCTCAAGTGAGAGTGCAGTTTTTCTTTGAGCAGTTTAATGAGTGAATTCAGCAGCAAAGTGGCAAGAAATGGCTCTGTAGCCAGGAGGGGTCATGTTCATCCTCTTATTGCCCAGATTCTCTGCTCACAATGGTAGTCAGTGAGAAGTGCCACTGGTGCCCAGCAGCACCCTGGGCACACAGAATTTCCATGTCATGTCGCAGTGTAGAAACAATCTTATCTCATTTCAAAAAAGTGAAAGCATTTTTGCACAGAGAAGAAGGGAAAAGACCCATGAACGTCATCTTTTAATTTTTGTTTTCAGTGGGCTAATGTTGAAATTTTTGTTCTTGACACGTTCTTGTAAACCATTCTTGACAAGATACAAGTTGTTTGGTTTTTCACTACAATTACCTCTTGTTCCTCCTGTCTTGACTGCTGACGTTCCTCAATGATTCTAATGTCTATTTTATGGGAAGCAGCCTTCCCCTGTGGGTTTCCTTTTACACACTGCAGGGCTATCTTTATACGTAAAAAAAAAAAAAGAAAAAGAAAAAGAAAAAAAGAAAACTGTCACTAACCTCATGGGGGATTTGCAGAAAACCATTTAGCCCACCTTGAGCAAAAGGTAGATTCCTCATTGTTTTCTTAAGCTCATTGTAATAAAAGAAATCTAATTCAGCATTATTGTGCTACCTCAAAGGTAAAATGTTTTAAGGTCTTTTTTTTGGTCCTGAGTTCTACACATAGTGTTTGAAATGTCTGTCAATTGGAATTGTTTTTAAATCATTGGGGACAATCTTATTTTAACTGTTTTACACTTACATTTTAATCTCAGAAGAATGAGTGATTAGAAAGTGATCAATTCTTGCTCTGTAGTATTGAACATATAATTAAATCATTGTTTGCCATAAACAAGGTTGGGTTTTTTTTAAAGGAAACTCTAGGGCTCGGCTTTGCTCTTGGTTAATAAAGGCTGACAAATCATGTCTGACTTTCTGGTGCAGCCCTGTGTTGTTTGTCCTCTCATTTCAGGGTTCCAGGCCATAATAGTACCCATCTGGCAGATACATTATTGGGATTGGGATGTGAGCTCTTGAAAATTAGAGAGGAGACCTGGGAGTATGTATTAGGGTTCTCCAATAAGAACCAATAAGGATTGTGTGTGTGTGTGTGTGTGTGTGTGTGTGTAAAGAGATTTATTATAAGGAATTGACTCATGCAATTATGGAGGCAGGCAGGTCTCATGATCTGCATGATAAGCTGGCAAACTATAGACCAAGGAGAGCTGATGATTAAATTCTAGTCTGAATCTGAAAGGTTAAGAACCATAAGAGTTGATAGTGTAGTTCCTTTCCAGAGGCTGGCAGGCTCAAGATTCAGGAAGAGCTAATGCCCCAGTTTGAAGGCAGGCAGGAAAATTCTCTTACTTGAGTGTCAGTCCTTGTGTTATATTTGGGCCTTCAACTAATTTGATGAGGCCCACCCACATTGGGGAGGGCAATGTGCGTTACTTAATCTACTGATTTAAATGTTAATTTCATCCCAAAGCACCCTTACAGAAACTCCCAGAACAATGGTTGACCAAATATCTAGGCACCCCATGGCCCAGTCAACTTGACACATAAAATTAACTATGACAGCATGGTATTTGAGTTGTTGAAGATGGTGTGGAAGGGCATCCAGTATATCCCTTGCAGGGAAGATAAACTCACCAATGAAGCTCAGCGGAAAACTCCTGTCTGACAGTGTTACTTCTACCATTTCCTTCTCGGTAACGTGGCTGTAACAAGAACTAGCGATGATTCTGTGATAACTCAGTGTGCCTGCGGTTTCTTTCCAAGTGACCAAAAGAAGCTGTTCTACGATAAAATCGTGTTCCAGTTTGATCTTGCCTTGACCTGGTGGTACACAAGTGTCAAGTAGTGGGTGAACATACAAAATATCCCCTTGGGGCTCAAGAAACTAGTAGTTGAACTCTCTCAAAGCCAAAATGGCCTTTAAAATTAAATGGTTTGGCCTTTGTGGTTTTAGTGGTGGTGTTGCCATGAACAGTTATTAAGCGCCAGGACAATGTTAAGATCATATTGTTCACAGTCTCAGAGTACATGTCACTTGAGGACTTTGCTTTCTTGAATGTTCTAACATGAAGCTCTGAATTTGCCCCATCAAAGGTACCTGAATATATCCTCGGTGATCT